GTACAATGAACACTATTATGCAGACGGGCACACTAAAAGCCCTGACTTCAGTATTATACAAGATATCCGTGTAACAAGAATATATGTACACCCTTAATATTTTGAAATAAAAAAAGAAAAGTCCACACTTGTTCAATGAGGGCACATTTATGGCCTGCTTTATCCAACTCTCCTTCTGAAAGTAAAATTCTCTTCCTCCCCAGTGGTGTTCAAGCACATTTCTCTACAGGTCCCTCCCTTTCTGCTCCTTCCACTTTGGCCCTCCCCATACTCAACTGGCTCCTTATCAGATGTTGCCAGGGAACAGCAAGACACAAGCAAGACTATGTTACCTGTGAGAGCAACAGCAAGGATATGTTACCTGTGAGAACAGCACCAAAAACAACAGGTGAGAGGATATATCACAGAGGCAAGCAAGGAGGGGTTGGGAAGGGATTGGGAAGAAAAGGTTCGCAGAAAGTACTAAAATCATGTGAAATGGGGTGGAATTGGGGTTCAAAAAATTATGGAATAGTTATTCAGCAACATGAATGAAACAATCTGGCACAGGTATTTTTGACTACCTTTTGTATGTCCAGCTCTGTGTTAAGCACTTTGAAGGATTCAGGAGAAATAGCAGATGTGGTACCTGTTATCAAAGAACTTGTAGAAACATATAAACATAAAAGGAATAGTTAGAGAACAGTTAAATACCAAACTCTGAGAGCTGAAAGAGCTTCCTTGGAGAACTGTGCCTCCAGCTATCTTGCAGGGTCAGCACAATTTTCATTAGCAAAGAAAAGGAAATAAAATATCCCAAGGATGGGGGAGCAGTCAGGGGTGGGAGCAGGAGGAATATGACTACCCTTTGCTGCTTTCTGTCTCCCCCTACTCAACAGGAGTTAAACCCAGAGATGTGAAGGGAATCTTACCGCTAATGATAATAATGGTGATAATTTTCTTGCTGCTTCTGTTCTGGGAAAATGAAATGAATGAGGAAATAATGCAGGTGTCAACCTTAGAGCACCTGCACGTGGACTACCCTCAGAGTGACATTCCTGTAAGGTACTGCAACTACATGATCATAGAAAAAGTCATCAGGGAACCTGACTACACTTGTAAAAAGAAACATGTCTTCATCCATGAGAGGCCTCGAAAAATCAATAGTATTTGCTCTTCTCCCAAGAAGGCGCCCTGCCAAAACCATTCCGCCACTTTCTGCTTCCAGAGCGAGACAAAGTTTCAAATGACAGTCTGTCAGCTCATTGAAGGCACCAGATATCCTGCCTGTAGGTACCACATTTCCCTCACAGAGGGGTATGTTCTTGTCACTTGTAATGACTTGGGGCCAGTTAATTTCCAGGGATATGTTGAATAACTTGAGGTTATATAACTCAGCACCTGAGTCTTAGATCCTCTTTTCTGTCTCTCAGTGGCACTGGGGCTGCGTGTCCCGAGGCAGACTGGAACTGTGGACATGGAGGACTGCCTTGGGTGAAATGGGTAGCCACTTGTAATTATTAATAATTTATCTTTCCAATATTGCTGAGTTGGAATCAATAAAAAATATTTACTGAATTAAACCATAAACTCTACATGTGTTTCAATTTTTGTCCCTTGTCTTTGAGTCATTTGATGAGAACTAAAATTGAATCAAAGGCAGGGTTAAAATTAAGACAAAGTGACTGAGACACTCATTTTAGGTGCAAAATTTAAGGGGGCACCAAAACACCCCAGTAATCTAGATAAATAATATTTTAATTCAATATTATTTTGTTTTGTTTCATAGGCCATATATTAATAGAATGTCTGCTCAATTTTTTTTAAGAGACAGGATCTTGTTATGTTGCCCAGGCTGGTCTCGAACTCCTGGGCTCAGCCTCCCAAGCACCTGGGATTACAGATGCGCACCATCATGCCCAGTGAATTTTTTTTTAATTTTTGGAAAAAAAAGAAGCCTGCCAAGGTGCCCAAGGTGGTCCCAAAACTGGGGGCCCAAACAAGCCCTCCAACCCCGCCCCCCCAAAGGCCGGGAATAAAAAAAAGAACCAACGGGCCCGGCCCTAAATCAAAAATTTAAAAAAATCAAAATTAATGCAAAAATCTTTGATGCACAAAATATCTAAATTTTAAAGATCCAATGTGACAGGGCTGGGATCAAGATGAGGCAAGTTACATGAGTTAAACTGTGGAAAGACACAAATAAGGATTTCCCAGGGAGGGATTGAGTCTCTCAGAGCTTAGTGTATCTCCTCTTTGCATCTCCAGAGGGGACAGAGAAGACTTTGAGCCAGACTACTAACTCCTTTCCCTTTTTAATTCTTACAGCTGGACTCATTGTTTAGCTCCCCCATGTTAAGCTATGGGCATAGTATCCTTAAGCTAGAGGAAGACGGAAGAGAAAGAGAGGCTCCTAATTCCGGGAATTTCATTAATTCCCGTTCTTCTCTGATTACTAGTTTCCTCCTCTGTAAAGCAAGGGTCTTGAACTAGATAATCTTTGAGGTTCTTTCCGTATCTATTACTCTATAATTCTATTTCTTAGGTAGTGTAGAAACTGGTTTTGCTGGAGGGGATGCTTTGTATTGGGAAGTAGTGAGAAATAAGGGGCAATTGGCAAGTAAGGGCCAGGTTATGGGATCACTAATTCTGAGCTATGTTCAACCCTGTATGTGAGAGCCAGAGACTCGTACCGTGAGCTAGAGCAGGCATGAGTGATTCACAAGCTTCAGAGAACACTTTCTGTCCTGATCTTTTCAGTCGAGAGATCTCAACTGTTGCATGGCTCATTTGGACTTAATTCAAGATCATATCAAAGAAGGAGGTGCACTTATGATAGTCGTTAGCTCTGTCTTTTGTAAGCATAAAATTCTATCTGATTGATTTGATTTATAGGGGGGATGAAGCTGACAATTATGAGTAAAAGACACTTTACAGCCTTGTAAGTAGGCAAAGCTTACCCATCTCATGCCTTCTTCCATCTGGGGTGACCTTTTTCAGCTGAGTTTCATTATCTTTTTCTCTGTGGTAAGCCTGTTGTCATTGTTGTCTTCGTGGAATTTTGGGTTCCACCAAGTGAACACAGCCTTCAGCATCTGAATAGAAACTGAGCAGGAACAGCTGGTCCTTGGTGTATGACTTGTTGGGTATTGGTAGCATCATTTCCTGGACAAAACCCTGAAGTAGACTAAATGTGTCCTTTAAGGCCCTGATTCTGTTTTCTGAATTCTGCTTCCTTTTTCTACCCCTTTCCCTAGGTGTATTGCTCTTTCTTTCCTTCTCAGTGCTTTTTGTTCCCTTCCTCTGCTAACCTCCCCCTCTTCCAATTAAAAAAAAAAAAAGTTGCAGATAAATGCATTCCCACTTAAGTGTAAGTAACTGAGACTCTCCAATGGAATCTATCCTCAGAGTATTTTCATTTAATAAGAATCAAAACCTAATTCAAGTGAATTGTGACATTTTACTCACTTGTACTTTGGGGAGGTATGTTTTTTAATAGGCACCTTTTCTAGCAGGTTGACACCAAATCCAGGCAGCTGTGAATTCTGCCCACTTGAAATACATGTTTCAGAAAGACTGGGAATCTCTGATCTGTTCTTCCTGTTTATGTTTCTCCTCATTGTCTTTTTGTTCTCATGTATCACCTCACTATGGATGTGAATGGCACAGATGGTAGAAGTTTAGGAAACAAAATAAATTCCCTCCAAACCCCTCTTACTTACTGTCTTCACCATGCATCGAGTCTGTGGTCAAGACACCCTCTCAAGGCACACACCTGAACACATCCACTTACTTCTTAATAATTTATCAATAATCCATTAACCCAATTAAGGCTTATATATTCTTGGTGCTAGGTCTTTGCTCTAGTTTCATAAACAGGCCATTTTAAAATCAAATACAACTTTTGAAAGTCCATATGTACTAATGTCAAATGAATGGTATAAGAATTATCATCTTAAATAACCATCCATTCTGGGATTCTCATTATGAATTTTTCAGCATTGACCTCAAGTAAAGGATTTTATACTCTAGTCAAGCCATATTATGTTGTTTACAAATATTGTTGAAAAACTAGTCTGTGTACAGTTCAGTATTTGGTGCTGTACAGAATAAAAATAATCAGAAACCGTGTTCCAGGTTCAAGGAGTTTTCAGCCTTAATAAGAGGGGGAAAAGACTAACATGTATCAACTAACCAGAAAAATGGAAAAGATCATATAAAATGAAGTGCAGCATAATCTGTGCTATCGGGTTTCAGAAAAGAAAAATAATCACTCTGGGTTAAACTATTAATAGAGAGGGGAGATTTGATGGAAGATAAAGCAGTGGTGCTGCCTGCCTGGGTCATTGGGATTCTGCCTGCCAAGTGGACACTTTGTTCAGTTCTCCCTGAGCGTCCTTGGTCCACATTGCCTCCTCCGCCAATCTCATACAATTCTATCTACCTCCTTCTTGCCCCTCCTTCCCTCAGTTAGACTCAATAACAGAAGCTCCCAGGAAACAAATGTAATTTCTCTTCTAGCCCTGCAACAAGCTGGAATCTTTCTCTACGGGATCAACTTGCCAAAGGAACTGGTAAAGACCAGAATCCCATGACTGAGAATGGGTGGGGAAAGAAGTGAGAGATGGGGAAATGGCTGTGTGTTTTGCTTTGTATTTTCAAGTGGCTACCATGTGCCAGGTACTATGTGAGGCTGTAGGAGATACAGTGATGGTGAGGAATGTGTTGGGTGAGAATTGTGAAACACATGGAGATTGTAGACCCTACCAACGAGATTATAAACAAAGGGAAAATGTTCTAACACTTTACATACATTCTTGCATAAATCTTACATAATTGTTACATTTTCTTTTTTTTTTTTTCACATTAGGAAACTGAGGTTAAATGAGATAAATTGTAAGTGGAGAACCAGGGACTTGAACCTGGTTCTTCAGACTCCACAGTTGATTGTGTTTTTATCAGATCACAGTTCCATTAACAGATGTAGATGTCTTAACTTACATGTAGGGGTCACTCCTGGGAATAACTGTCGTAAGGAAAAGGGACCAATCTTAATCTTATCATTTATAATCT